TGCTCTTCTACCGTGTCATGGTTCCACTTCCCTGATTATAAAGGTTTTCCTCTTTTACTTTCCCAGACTCAGAGCTGTATGACCACAGCCCCATCACCTAGGCCCCAGGATGACTCGGCTTGGCTTGGGTCAGATGGCGCTTGTAGCATATAGTGTGATGTGTGTGTATATTGTTTAATCTAGAATCATGTGCCAAGCCTTGTCATGGCAAGCGACTTTCACATTTAGTTTTTGTCAGTTTCACTTATTTTTCTATTTTTTGGCATTGGTCAGCATTTCCTGAACATATGGTTATAATGTGCAACATAAAGAAATGATGCACAATTATAAACAAATGAACATGATTGACAACAACATACATAGCTTTGGCATGTTGGTTACCAGAGTACTCTACAAAATCTGTTTTCTTTGGCACCCATGTCAAATGAGTATGTAACATGGTTGAGCTTACGAAAACAGATCTAATACGAGTGTCATCCTAGATGAGGAATAAGACACTCTTTTCAAAGCATAGTACATGTAATGTAAAGTACAATGTAATTTATAGTTGTTATCCAGGTTTAGCTAGTTAAAATGAAGTGCAACACTTAGTAATTACATTGTACAAATATTATAATAATAATAATAATATGCCATTTAGCAGACGCTTTTATCCAAAGCGACTTACAGTCATGTGCGCATACATTTTTTTTTTTACGTATGGGTGGTCCCGGGGATCGAACCCACTACCCTGGCGTTACAAGCGCCATGCTATACCAATTGAGCTACCAATTAAGGAAGCATGTACAGCATAATTTTTTTTCTAAAACATGCATCCTCTTTGCAATAAGGCACTAAAGTAAAACTTCAAAAAAATTGGCAACGAAATGAACTTAATGTCCTTATTACATGTACTCTGTAGTGTACTAGTGTGTTTATTCTCCCACTTGGATTTCCAGAAACTTTAATTTGAGGGCCAGGATGGGTACTATATAAGTAGTAAGTGCTCCTCAAGATACACTTAATGTTAACTAGCTAAATCCTGTGTAACACCTAGTAATTACATTGTACTTATGCAGATGGTACATTTACTCTGTGTTGTACTAGTGTGTTTATTTCTCAATTGGATGGCGCTTTCAGAAGCTGATGATTAGATTGTCAGGATGGGTAACGTACTTTGGTACGCCGATGACGTGGACGTCAATTAAGGCAGCTGATTCAGAGGGGTTGGATTAAATGCGGAAGACACATTTCGGTTCAATGCATTCAGTTGTGCAACTGACTAGGTATCCCCTTTCCATTTCCCCCTTTCCCCTTGTAGGTACACTATAATTACAAGTGCAGTGCCTTCAGAAAGTATTCACACCCCTTGACTTTTTCCACATTTTGTTGTGTTACAGCCTGAATTGAAAATAGATTATATTGAGATTTTTTGTCACTGGCCTACACAATACCCAATAATGTCAGTGGAATTATGTATTTCTAAATTTATACTAATTCATTGCAAATGAAAAGCTGAAATGTCTTGAGTCAATAAGTATTGAACCCCTTTGTTATGGCAAGCCTAAATAAGTTCAGGAGTAAAAAAGTGCTTAACAAGTCACATAATAAGTTGCATGGACTCACTCTATGTGCAATAATAGTGTTTAACATGATTTTTTTATGACTACCTCATCTCTGTACCCCACACATACAATTATCTGTAAGGTCCCTCAGTCAAGAAGTGAATTTCAAACACTGATTCAACCACAAAGATCAGGGAGGTTTTCCAGTCCCTCACAAAGAAGGGCACCTATTGGTAGATGGGTCAAAAAACTAAAAAAAAAGCAGACATTGAATATCCCTTTGAGCATGGTGAAGATATTAATTACACTTTGAATGGTGTATCAATACACCAAGTCACTACAAAGATACAGGTGTCCTTCCTAAATCAGTTGCCGGAGAGGAAGGAAACCACTCAGGGATTTCAACATGAGGCCAATGCTGACTTTAAAACAGCTACAGAGTTTAATGGCTGTGATAAGAGAAAGCTGAGGATGGATCAACAACATTGTAGTTACTCCACAATACTAACCTAACTGACAGAGTGAAAATAAGGAAGCATGTACAGAATAAAAATATTATAAAACATGCATCCTCTTTGCAATAAGGCAATAAAGTAAAACTGCTAAAAAATTGGCAACGAAATGAACTTAATGTCCTTATTACAAAGCGTTATCTTTGGGGCAAATCCAACACAACACATTACTGAGCACCACTCTTTATATTTTCAAGTATGGTGGAGGCTGCATCATGTTGTGGGTATGCTTGTCATCGACAAGGACTAGGGAGTTTTTTTTAGGATAAAAAGAAACTCAATAGAGCTAAGCACAGGCAACATCCTAGAGGAAAAACCTTGTTCAGTCTGGGAGACAAATTCACCTTTCAGCAGGACAATAACCTAAAACACAAGGCCAAATATACACTGGAGTTGCTTACCAAGATGACACTGAATATTCCTGAGTGGCCTAGTTACAGTTTTGACTTAAATTTGCTTGAAAATCTATGGCAAGACTTTAAAATGTTTGTCTAGCAATGATCAACAACCAACTTGACAGAGCTTGAAGAATAAAAAAAAGAATAGTGTGCAAATATTGTAAAATCCAGGTGTGCAAAGTTCTTAGAGACTTACCCAGAAAGACTCACAGCTGTAAGGTGATTCTAACATGTATTGACTCAGAGGGTTGAATACTTATCTAATCAATTTATATTAGTGTTTTGTTTTTCATATATATATATATTTTTTTTAACACCTAGTAATTACTTATGCCGATATTACATGTACTCTGTGGTGTACTATTATGTTTATTTCCCACTTGGAAGGTGCTTTCAGAAGCTGACAACTAGATCGTCAGGATGTGTAACGTACTTTGTAAGTACACTATAATTACAAGTAAGTACCCTTCTAGATACACTTCATTTTACCTAGCTAAATCCTGTGTAACACATAGGCTGCATTTACACAGGCATCCCAATTCTGATCTTTTTTTCACTAATTGGTATTTTGACAGATCAGCACTCAAAAAGATCTGATGTGATTGGTCAAGAGACCAATTAGTGGAAAAAATATCAGAATTGGGCTGCCTGTGTAAATGCAGCCTTAACAATTTTATTATACTTATGCAGATAATACATCATGTGGTGTACTAGTGTGTTTATTCTCCCAATTGCATCTCGCTTCCAGAAGCTTTAAATTGAGGGCCAGGTTGTCAGGATGCGTAATGTACTCTATAACACATTTATTACAAGTAAGTACTCATTAAGATACACTTCATTTTAACTAGCTAAATCCTGTGTAACAACTAGTAATTACATTGTACTAATGCAGATATTACATGTACTCTGACGTACTAGTGTGTTTATTTATTTTTTAAAGTGTCTTATTCCTCATCTGAGATGACACATAGTAGATCTGTTGTCGTAGGCTCAACCAAGTTAACCCAGATGGTACGCTTTATTTTGGGGGCAAGTGCTAGCAAAAACGTTGACTGGAGATATATTTTGAACAGTGCACATTCATGGGTAAGTAATTTGAGCCTATTGAGCATAGGCTATAATCTCTCAGACACCCAGCGCATCAACAAGGGATCCCAACCTTTGTCACAGTTGTTAATGAATCGGATGCAGCTGAGAAGAAGCCAAACACTAATTTGGTGAATTTAGTGAAACCCTGCCCATTTGTAACAAGCATGGTAACAAGCATTCATTGTTACACTTTTGTAATTACAGACTGCAATTACTACCAGTTAGATGTTGTTATTACACTGTAACTATGAGTTGTTCCAGTTAACTACAATACTTGTTATTACACTGTAATAAGGACCCCTTAAAAGGAAGTGTTACCAAGTATTGACTGATCTTAAAGGATTAAAGAGATTCTCCAGTACTTTTTTATACTGTTTAGCTAGTAGTTCTGAAAGTAGCACTCAAGAGCCAAAATTGGTCCCAGAAAATGGCGTACTACGTCACATATGTGCAGACATGTGCACCACGTCATTACTCTCTCGCTCTCGCTCTCCTGTGTGTGCATCTTGCTAGCTGTCACTCAAATGGCGAGGGGCTGAAGCTCATTGGCTAGAACTCTAATTGCTAGGCGGCTGGCCCACATGGGGGAAAATGTAGGGGAAATGGTGCAGCACTGCTTCCAGAAAAACAGTCGCTTTCAAACTAGGGATTTCGTGGCTAATTGAGGTAAGACAGTAATTCTGATCATAGATTATGCATGTATGAACTGCACATTGACACATCAAGCCCAAAGCGGGAGGCTTAATGGCAGTGTAGAACCTATATTTCTTAATGCCAGAAACACATACAATATAATAGTAATTTAGAGCACCCTAAGAAAACATTCCCAAATTACAAACTCTTAAATCAATTGTTATAATATTATAATGCTGTTCTAAAAGTTGGGTTTGAGGTTTTCTCCAAATCAGCTCTAACTTCAGAAACAGTCCCAAAACGCCCCACAGTCAGTCACACGATGAATGAAAAACTTTGTAAAAAGTGGGATACATTTGTAAGAATGAGCGGGCGAATTGGGCGTCTACTTGTCAATCTGCGGGGCACATTTCGATCCCCGGGACCACCCATACACAAAAATGTATGCACGCATGACTGTAAGTCGCTTTGGATAAAAGCGTCTGCTAAATGGCATATTATATTTATTATTATTATACATTTCAACCCTGAGAACTTCCACGGCTATCAACAATGTAAGGAGGGCTTCAGCAAGAAATTGATTCTCAAAGTGGATGCTGTCCCTACCATCAATGTGGCTTCTAAGCATCTCAAACAGCCAGCAGAGACCGTGAGAATGGAAGTGAACCCGGTAAGTGAAAGCTATATTGCATTTAGCTCACGTCTTCCATCTAAATAACACCAATAAAAGTTTATCATTGTTTGACACACTGTATTGAGCTAGGCCACTGAAGGAGTAATACCTCCCCCTGCTGGTGAGTCAGCAACACAATATGGACAACAAGTTGAGGGATTTGTACAAAAGGTTTTATTCAAAACATCCTTCAGATCAATCAGTGCAAATGACACAACAACCCTCCATTACGAGGGGGAGGCTGAGGTTATATTTGGTCCATGAGGGGGTTGGTCCCTAAGCTTAGTGATCCAAACTAATCTTGGTTCACAGTAAGACACTTGGGATGCATCGTAATAATTTATATAGGCTTCCTCCCCTCTCTCACCCATCTCTGATCTTGTCAGATAAGAGTATAAGGAGAAGAAAAGAGAAGCAAAAGCCACTTCAGACTACTGAGATGCACCCTAGGGTCTCTGACTGACTCCCCCTAAACTCTTTCCCCCTCCAGTGTCTTTGGACCCAGACCTGGTTGGTCAGATGGTCAGGTCTGTGGAAATAAAATACTACTCTGCTTGTTCACAAGGATCATCCAGAGGACAGCACTGCACTGATTATCTGATCAACAAATCACCTCAACTTCTAAACAACTGGGTATGATATATATATTCTATGATATATATATATATATATATATATCCACAGCTCCATCCATATGATGCAAAGATTACTAGCTTAGGGTCAGGGTCAAAGGTCGACCCTCGTGGACAAGCAGGTCATGATGGATCCAGAGAAGGCTCCAGCGCTGTCTCACATGCGTGTCTTCTTGTAGATGGCGATGTACTCCTGGACGTCTTCAGGGGAGCCCAGGACTACAGGCACCCGCTGGTGGATGTTGTCTGGCTGGATGTCCAGCACGTTCATCTCCCCTGTGGTGGCCATGCCTCCAGCCTGCTCGATGATGAACGACATAGGGTTGCACTCGTACAGCAGCCTTAGCTACACAGGGTGGGGTGGAAGAGAGACGATGGTTAGTCACTTCAATATACTGAGAAAAGTTCTCGTTCATCCTACACTTGAATAAACTTGTCTTATTGATCATTATATTGACCATATCTTGGGCACAGCCAGCCCTCTTCTGGTCACTTGTATGTAACATTTGAGTTTTATTTTTATTACTAGATATTCATTTATATGAACTGAAGAGCTCTGCCTGACTCACCTTTCCCTTGGGGCTCTTGACATTGGCAGGGTATAAGAAGATGCCTCCATACACCAGAGTCCTGTGCACATCAGCCACCATTGAACCAACATAACGCCCACCATAGGGGGCACTGCCATCCTGGAAACACAAAGCAATATAAAGTTAGTAATAATTAAATAACTGAAGTCATCACTTCAGTTTTGGTCCCAGACATTCTGTTATTTAATATTTTCGTCATTTAGCCGATGCTCTTTTTTAGTGCAACTTACAATAGGTGCATTTAAAAGTAGGTAAGACAACCACATATCAGGCATATTTCAGTAGTTTTGGTCACTTAATAGTACCCAAAGAGTGAATGGTTCAGAATTACAGTGTAAAACGTATGCCCTCTGCCCTTTCAGGTTTATAGTTAGTGAATTACCTCTGGGTATTTCTTCTTCTTCAGGTACTCTGTGACGTCTGGGTAGAAGTGCTGAGCATAACCTTCGTTTAGACTGTAGATCTTTCCTCTCTTCTTGATCTTCACATCCTTGTCTGTCAGGATGAACTCCCCGATGGCCTAAACAGACAGAACAAGGACATGACTGAGCAACTTCATGGACTTCATTGGATTTAGATATCATTTGTGTTTTCATGTACATTTATTCATCTTTTATTGCTGTTTTACTGTAGTGTGTTGCTATTTTAACTTTTTTAAGTTTACCCAAAATCCAGAAACTCCCAAGTGATTCCATACATTGAAACTCATTCAGTGGAGTTTGCCCTCTCCCCCTCTCTGGAGTGCAGAACTGAGACAGCTGCAATAACGGGTCACGTGACTCGTGACGTTGGTGGATGCAGGACTCACTCTGCTCCGTTGTCAGTGAATGCATGATTCACAAATCCGCGAACTATGGACAAATTCCTTATTTTATTGAAAGCATACGTCCAAATGAGCTAATTTTGTCAAAAGTACTATCAGTTGAGTCAGGAAATGTGTACTTTCCAACCTAAAATATTTGCGATTATTTTATATCATTATTTATGTAGCCGACTGCCACAGCAGCGGAAATGGGTAACACAGCACCCCCCCTCGCAGATTCAAGTTTTTGGTGGGGTAGCAGTATTGAGGATACAAAAAAAACAACCAAGAACATGTCTGACGACGAAAGAGTCGCGAGTGAAGAGGAGGAGCAGCCTACAGGAGGGGCGTCGATGTTGTCAAACCTTATTTATTTGAGCCAGAGTAGCCTATTCTGACAAAGAACTTCGGATGGCAGCCACCGTTTTAGAAACTGAGGCCGCAGCGGCAGCTGGACCAGAGCCCCAACCCATCCCCAGGATCAACACAGATTGGTGGTGTAGTTGTGGCAATTGCGCTCCAATGCCGACAAATTAGGAATGTTCGTGCTGCAGAGAATTCAAACACGTGACTACAATTCTTACAGACATGGAGGAACTTATTGATTATGAGGAGCAGCTAATTTGCTTTTGGGACCACAGGGATTTTGCTGCCCACAAAAACTCTGGTGTCCTGGAAACATTTTCCGTATTCCAAAAAGGAATTGGAGATGCACCCCTGTTCAAGCTGGACCAAATGAACAGTTATCTAATGAGTAAGTAGCTAAACTTTACCTTATTGAATGATCACTTATCATAAACCTCTATGAACAGTATCCTTCGGTTTTCTGTCCTCATCATTTCAGATTTCATATCTTGTTCATATGCATCATGACTGAAGTGCCAGCTCCTTCTCCCACCAAATAAAACTGACATCAAGCTCCATATAAGGGCATATCGTGAGCAGGGTTTCCCCCACGAGGGCGCACCTGTGCAGTTGTTACCCATTTCCGCTGCTCTGGCAGTCGGCTACATAAAGTAATGATATAAAATAATCGCAAATGTTTTAGGTGGATAAGTACACATTTCCTGACTCAACACTGATAGTACTTTCGACAAAAATAGCTAATTCGACAGTAGGCTTTCAATAAGACAATGAATTTGTCCACAGTTCGCGGATTTGTGAATCATGACTTCACTGACAATGGAGCAGAGTAAGGCCTGCAGAGTAAGGCCTGCATCCAGCAATGTCACATGACCCTTTTTTTTTTTTTTTTTTTTACAGCTGTCTCAGTTCTGCAATCCAGGGAGAGTGAGGGGGAGAGGGCTAACTGCACTGAACTAGTTTCAATGTATGGAATAATTTGGCCGTTTCTGGATTTGGGGTTAACTTCTCCTTTAAGTTTGATTTGATTTGGAATTTACAGGGTCCAGCATGAAGCAGTTGACCCCTTGCCCTGTGGAGAGCACCATCATGGTGGCACTGCCGTAGAGGGCGTAACCGGCGGCAACAATGTGACGTCCAGACTGCAGTGCGTCCTTCTCATTGGGCTCATCGTCTGTAGTCTGGGAGACAAACATGAGGATAGTTGTTACCAAAAATAACAGAAGAACAGTGAAACAGCCTAACTACAGTAGAAACTGGCACTATGGTGTGACTGAGACAAACAATGTGTCTGAGAATGAAACAGAATGTTACAGAATGTTACAGAATGTCTGAGGCTGAAACAGAATGTCTGAGACAGAATATCGAATGTATGTTTGGGGCATAGAGGAATCATAGAGAAAACACCAGAAACAAAACAAACACCAACCTTTCTGTAGATGGCAAAAATTGTTCCAATTGATACAAGACAGTCAATGTTTGACGAGCCATCAAGTGGGTCGAAGCACACAATATATTTTCCCTGTGAAATAAATAAAAAGGACATTGTCACATTGATGTCACAAGACATATCCCAACTTCAATCTGGGCCACACACACACACATGCACTACTCTGTCCTCCCACACGCACCTGTTTCTCTGGTTCCACGATGAGTGCCCTCTCGTCCTCCTCTGACACCAGGACACAGGAGGTGAAGGAGGACTTAATCATGTTGATGACCAGGTCGTTGGACAGAACATCTAGCTTCTTCACCTGGTCACCTGTCACGTTGGTGCTCCCAGCAATGCCATAGCTGGAGGGAGGAAGAGAGGCAGAGAAGGAGAGAGGGCAGGGAGAGAAGGACAGGTGAGGGAGAGAAGGAGAGAGGGGGAGGGAGGGAGAGAAGGACAGGTGAGGGAGAGAAGGAGAGAGGGGGAGGGCAGGGAGAGAGGGACAGACATGTGAGAGCAGTAATATCACTAGGCCTATCTCTGTCATACAATTGGGGGGAAGTGGCCACTGCTTTGTGTCAGTGGGAATGCAGTCTCTGATAGAACACACAGGGCACAGAGAAATGCCTGATAAACAGGTAATAGGCCTACTTCCTCCTAATGTCTCACGAGGAAATACATGCATGATTTGTGAGTAGCCTACTGTATTCCAATAGCCTTGGCTTGCATGTGGTCTCTGTAGCTCAATTGGTAGAGCATGGCGCTTGTAATGCCAGGGTAGTGATCCCCGGGACCACCCATACGTAAAAATGTATGCACACATGACTGTAAGTCGCTTTGGATAAAAGCGTCTGCTAAATGGCATTTATATTATTATTTCATATTAAAAGAACAACATCCAAAGATGCATAAACGTGGACATTGACCTGAGTCGAGGTTGACAACGGTATTATGGCCAACAGATTAGATGGACAGTCAGGCACAATGTAAATATTTGATTTGAGTCTCCCCGCCCCGGTGCATAGTTGGTTGGTAGTAACTCACAATTTCTGCAAAATCACTGTTGATCAGTTATGAAATACTTCAAATTCATTGTTATTCGTCACATGATTCGTAAACAACAGGTGTGGACTAACAGTGAAATGCTTACTTACTTATCGTCCTCCTCCGCTCAGTTGATAAATATTACATATAGACTAATGCGACGAACACTATCACTGACAGTATCACTTGTTGCATGCAGCAACACTTACAGGTTGGCAATCCCAGCTTTCCTGACAGCGGTGGAGATGGCTTTTACGGCTGTGCAGATGGAGTTGAGGAGCGTTGTCAGTTCTCCCGTTCCCTTCGCCTTCCTTCCCTCCTCCAGCACGAATCTCGTGAGGGTAACGACATTAGTGTCGAATGCGCTCCGGTCGGACATGGTGACTTAGAAGGCTGTACAGGTTCTCGAGCAGGTGAGCTGCGCGACGTGGTCCTGCTGCTTGAGAGGAGACCAGGACAGGTGAGTTCCTCAATGTGTCACCCTAAAGTTAAAATATAACTAAAGAGCCGAGAGAGGGAGAGGCGGGGGAGTGCAGTTGTTTGAACCAATCACAGTTGGCCTTTCAAAGGGAGGGGCATGGTTGAGAACACATCTAGCTGAGCAGTTAAGTGAGGGCGAGGTTCACAGATAATAAACAGGTTCTCACAAATGTTCGAGTGATGTTGGCCAGGTTCCAACAAGTTACTTTACCCCCTTTCCCCTCACTCGCACCCGTTTAGGTGATTTCACATATCTGAAAGGACTGGTAAGTGGTGCTGGCTGAAATGGAACCCGATTGTAGGCCCTAAACTTGTTTTGAAGAGCACTGTCCCCAAAACGTCTGCTCTCAGCATGATATGTTGGCCATCTATTGGGTGCATTATCAATAAATATATTACATGGAGAATGCAGATAGTGTGCAGTTACATCACTATTCATTTTGAATGAGAGAACTACATTTAGTGTAAACCATGAATTATAATAATGTGTGAATGTGTACTAGTCTGTAGGCCTGGCCTACAATGCAATGGAAGGCTACCAGTGGACTGTTGAAGTAACTAGAATACTTGTAGGGCATTTGGAGTGAAACCAGGATGACGAGTTATGAGAGAAACTATTCTACAGCTGGTTTTAGATATTCAGAGTTTGGTGGCTGGTGGTCTCTTATATGTCCTTTAGTGTTGGGAAATCAGTCTGACAAGGAATGAAAGATACCAGAGACTCCAGAGAGAAACCTGTTGCTAAATCATGTAGTCCAAGAATGAAAAGGTGATAGCATCTCCCATAAAAACCACTACAACACGTTTTTTTCAATGCATGGTAGGCTACACTTATTTATTTAAAAAATAATTCAATTTGTAAAATCTGTCTTCAAATTACATAGCGGTCAGCACATTGGTTTAATAACCTAGATGATCATGAACACTGATAAATTCATTTCCTTTTAACTCTTTTTTTGAGCTTCTGGCTATCAGCCCTTTAATGTAAGCATGCTTTCTGTACATGCTCCTGAGAATAGCTGAGTCTAAAGTGCAGTTCATAGGTCAATCCATTGTGTTCTGTTTGTTGCTCTACTTTAAAGATGGCTTTTCTTGTGTGTCTGAAATGGCACCCTAATAACTACGTAATGCATTACTTTTGACCAAATCCCTATGGGCCTGGTCAAAAGTAGTGCACAATATAGGGAATAGGATGCCATTTCATGCAAACCTTGTGTGCAAAAACAATGACGAAAGCTAATGATGAACAAAGTCAGATAAGATGAGTTCATTGCGCCAGGGTTACGTTATGTTATTACGCAAGTTTGGACAAAATGTCTGAGAGGGGGGTTTCACAACAAGATGCTGATTTAAACTTTGAACTTTGAAATGGAGCCACATGTGACCGCTGAGAGACAATTGTTTACAAGGATCAAAGACCAGATTCTAGGGGCATATCTGAACTGTTTTCAAACTTGCTTTGTGTTGCTAATTCAGTTTGTTGATAGAGCCTTCAAAAGGAAGAGTGGCAGGTAGCCTAGTGGTTAAGAGTGTTGGGCCAGTAACTGAAAGGTTGCTGGTTCAATTCCCCTAGGTGAAAAAGCTGTTCATGTGCCCTTGAGCAAGGCACTTAACCATAGTTGCTCTGGATAATATTTAAGAAATATGTTCTTATGTGGTTTTGAGTCTTATCTAAAAGGATTATAGACTACAGCAAGAGCAAGATTATAAGAGCAGGGAAATGATGGGATGATATATATTGTTTAATGATATAAAGTTCATCTATTATTTTCAACACTTTACTGAATAGTTCCTGAGTGGTTTTTCAAGGTCAGAATGTTGGGCACCTACTTGTTATGTTGGGCATGTACTGACCAAACAAAATGTTATGAAATGTTTTTTTCTTCTCAATGACATGTATTTCTAAATAAAAATGTTTAAGGCAGGGAGGTATTAGGCAGGGATTAGTGTGGTGTGTGAAGAATCCAGCACTTTAACTTGTATGCGTTATAAATCACATTATTGTGGGAGCACCTCCTCTAAGAGTATGAATTAGGCTGTTTGAGAAAGTTTGAATCCTGAGCAACCTCCACATTGTTTGAAGTACAATAAACAAACATAGCTACTCGGGGTTTCAAAAGAAAAGGGGCCCCAACGGGGATTTAGGGGAAAATTGGGGGGGAAAAAGGGGCCCAATTTAAAAAATTGAAAAACCCTTTTGTTTTTGGCCAAAAACCCCCAAAAAAGGGGGGAACCGGGAAAGTTTTAAAAGGGGGGAAAGGGAAAACCAACGGCCCCCCCCCCCCCCCCCGGGGGGGGGGGGGGGGGGGGGGGGGGGGTTTTAAAAAATTTATAAAAGTTTTTTCCCAAAGGGTTTTTTTTAAAAAAAGTTGGTTTGGACAAATTTTGGAGGGGGGGGTTTAAAACCGGGATTTTTTGATTTAAACCTTTAATTTGGGGGAAAGGCGCCCACTTAAAGGTATGAAATTTGTTTAAAAAGGGAAATCCAAGCAACCGGGGCCATTTTTAAGTTTTCACAAACTTGTTTTTTGAAAGTAATTAAAATTTTTGTTTTTGGCCCCGGAAAATTTGGTTTGGGAAGATGGGTGGAATAAGGATTGGGGTTCCCCCTTGGGAAAAACTTTCTTGTGGCCTTAGCCAACCCTTTAACCTCTTCCGGGAAAAATTTTTGTTTTAATTTTTTGATTCTTTCAAAAAATTTTAATTAAGGACAAATTTTAAAAGGGGTGGGGGGTTTGATAAATTTTTTATGAAAAAACCCTTTTTTTAAAAGAAATTCCAAAATTTTTCCCCCCAGAATTTTGGGGGGGAAACCTTTTTAAAGGGTTCGTCTGAAAAAATGGAAATGCCTCAAAACGGTTTCCAATAAAATTTTTAAGGCGGGAAGGTTTTGGGCATTGGGGTTTTGGTTGTAGTGTTAAAATGTTACTTTAAAACCCAAATTTTGGGGAGAATTTCCCCCTAAATTACTTTTTAAAAAAATTTTAAATTGGAAACCTTCCCCATTTTTTGGTTAACAAATTTGCTCCCTTTAGTCCCGGAAAAGCTGGGCCCTTTTAAATGGGGGGAAGTTAAATTTGGTTTTGTTTTAATTTTTTTTTTTTGGGTTTTATAAAAATTCCCAAAGGTTTTTTGCAAATTCTAAGTTAATTTGTGAGGTTCAATTGGTAAAAAATTTAAAAGGGGGCAGAAAAAAAAAACCCCGGAAAAAATTTCAAAAAATCCTTTGGGCCAAAGTTTTTAAATTTTTTCTTTTTTGGGATAAAGGGCCCTTAAAATTAGACACTCGAAAAGTTAAATGCTTTTGAGAATTTTGTCTTTTTAAGTTTTTAATTGGGGCCCCCAAAGGTTTAACCTTTTGTGGTGTTAAAATTTTCCCAACCCCTTTTTTAAGGCCATTTTCCCCCATAACCGCCAAAAAAATGGGGAATTTTTGGGGGGATTGTTTTGGATTAATTAATGGTTTACATTTTATAAAAAATTAAAAGCAGGGGGAAAATTTAGCTTAGGCCTTGTGGGAAATTTTTGAAAAAGGAGGGGAAAAAAAAAAACACGCTTTTATTTTAAAAGGTTTATTTACTTTTTGAAGCCCAATTTTAATTACACTTCTTGGGATAAAAACTTTTTTAATTTTTAACAGGGGTAAACCCCCCTTCCATAGAGGGTTTTGGGATTTTAAATTTTGGGGAAACCCATTTAAAAATTTTCCTTTACATTAATGCAGGGGAATGGGGTTGGGGTTTGGGGATTAATTTCAGACCATTTCAAATTTTTTGAAGGGGGGCTTTTACTTAAAGCCTTTTTTAATAAGTTGGGGGGAAAAACCCCTTTTTTTTTCGGTTTTTTGTTGGATTTAAGGCCCCATAATTTCGGTTTTTGCTTTGGTTTTTAAAATTTTTAACTTCATTAATAAATTTGGCTTTTTAAAGGGAACCTTGTGGGGGTTTTTGGGGCCCATTTTTAGAACGTGGGGCGGGGTTTTCCCCAAAAACAAGGACCAAACCAGGTCCAAGGGAGAAACAGGAAAACCCTGGCCCCGGGTTTGGGAAAAGTTTTTGGGGGCTTGGGAGGGGGAAAATTGGGTTTTTTGGTTTTTTGAAGGCCCCCTTTTTTGGGCGAAAGGAGGGCCCTGGGCCAAGGAAAAGGGAAGAAACCCAACCAAAAAGGACCCAGGGGCCCCCGGAAAAGCAGAAGCACCCCAATAAAACATTTTGGGGGGGGGAAGGGCGGTGGAACGCCCCGGGCGGAAGGGGAAAAGGCCTGGCCGGAAGAGGAGGACCCCCGCCAAAATTTGACCCCTCCAAAAACCCCCGGGGAAAATCGAAAACATTTTGGGGGGGGGCCCCCCAAAACGGGGGGGGAAAAGGGAGGAGCAGGAGAGTCCCTTTAAAAAGGGGAGGGGGCCCGTTTTTAAGGAGGCCCCGGGGGGAAAGGAAGGGGAAATTTAGGGGGCAAGGGAAATTGGCGGGACCCCAAAAGGGGGATGGTTCAAGGGGCCCTGGGGAGGGAAATAGTTAAAAACGAAACGGGAAAAAAAAAAAAAAAAAAGGGTTGGCCGGCCCAAAAGGCCCGCAGGGCCTAGGAATGGGGAGCCAAAGGGGGGTTGTGCCGGGGCCGGCTTCCAGCCCAGTCCCCCCCTTTCCACGCCCGGCCCCCCGCCGTCCCCCGAAAAAAAGTGGGCTTCCAGCCCGGGACGGGGTGCCACCCCTCCCCCAAAAACCCAGGGGGGCCCCTTTCCCCCCCCCGGGGTTACGCCCCGTCCCTGCTCCCCGCCCCAAAACCCCAGGGGTTTGCGCTTACCAGCCCCGTACCCCCGTCCAGCTCCTCCACCAAACCAGGGGTTTGGTGTCCCCCACCCCGGGGTAGGGGCCCCTTTACCTGCTCCCCGCCCCAAAACCCCAGGGGTTTCCGGTTTCCCGGGCCCGGAAAGGGAAAAAAACCCCCCCCCCCCCCCCCCCCCCCCCCTGCTCCCCGAAACCAAACCCAGTGGGGTTTTCCCAGCCCGGTACGGTCCGGCTCCCCCCGGACCCAACCGGG